GGTCTACTAGCGACACCAATTGCCTACCATCATGGTAATCCGTCGTCTCATTTGACGACCTATCCAATAGAAAATTACCAAGCTTTTAAAGCCTAAACGATCTGTATGTATGCCTGGTCAGAACGGCGCATAGCGTTCCGCGCGCGCCTTTAAGACCCAATAGACCACCACAGACAGGGCCCTATAGGGCTGATGTTCTGCTGTGGTTGCGGCGTAAAAACATTAAGGTAGCCTCGGCCAGGAAAAGGAAAAGGCTTTAACGTATCCTGTAAGAATCTGATACTTCCTCTCCTCTCACCATGGGCGTGAGAGGTCATTTGATGATTATCCCCTCCCAAATCCCTCTTATCCCAAATCATTTTTGGACCTCCGACAATACTTACAAACTTCGACACAGTTTTTTGTAACAATTATAGAGATATAAAAAGTGGATATACATATTTATATCCGTGTTACCAACGTCTACGATCTGAGTGCCTAGCACGAATGACTATCGTAATCGTAACGTTAACGTATCGAGACGTCGATACTTCATGTGACGAAAACGGAATGTCGCAGCACGAAGCCTATCGTATCGTCTAGCGAGAGCTCGAATCGAATTCGTTAGTGACGTCATGCTAATGTAAGCTAGAGAAGCACCCAAGTGAACGAATTGAATGAATTTTTGAACATAATTTAACATAAAGATTTCGTCTGAAAACTAAAATTAATTTTAAACATATTTCAACCTTCGTCTACACCTTTTGTGGTATTATATTTAAATGAAAAAATATTAATTACGTGAAATAATTCTTAAAACGAGTCAAGAAGTATATAAAATGACTTTATCTATGAAAAAAAATATTATTTGGTTATTTAAATTTTGTAACATAATTTACGATTTCCGAACGTTCTTTTGACAAAGGTGACGTTTGACGGCTATTGACGAATTTTTTTTAACAAACAAAACAAAGAATGTAGATTGTAGATAATTATGCGGCTATCTTATTATGCGGTTAGTTTAAATTTATTTTAAAATGAGGAGGACTCGGCTCCAATACGAATTAATGGTGGATTTCATGGAATATGCCAGTGACAAGCAGCGAGCCTTCAGTGTTCCGACCACTCCGCAGTACCCATGAAGCCAGCCGTTCACCGACACCACCAGTCGCCAATCCTCCATTAGAAAAGGAATGCTGGAAGCCTCGACCGAAAAAAAAATCTAAAGGGAGTTTAATCAAATTGTGTTTAGAGAATGATAAGAAACCTAGGGAGTTTGCTAGGGAGCGTGAGGAAACATATGATATAATGGAACAAGAGCGTTTGGAATTACGACGAGAAGAATGAAGAGTAAGACAGAGAGATGCAGAGCTCCTTTTACAGGCTCAGTGGCTGGAACTTATGAGAGAGGCAATAAATGTATTAAAATTTAATCTAGTTAAAAAGATGATTAATGTATATTTACATGTTTTATTTTAAATTACTACATTTTGGAATGAGGAAAGATTATGTTAGAATTGAATTTAAAATGTCTCACTATAGTTACCTATTATAAAAACATAGGTAAGAATAGTTTTTAAGTTAGATTAGTGTGTAAGATGTTTTGGAAATGTATAATAATAAAACACTTGGGTCATCTGTGTAGTATATTTATTTGCTGTACCAGAATATTCTTTAAAGCCCTTTCACTTATCAAATCATCGCTTCTATCATTTTCATGTCTCATAACAGAAGATGAGGTATGAGACAAGTCTTGATGCTGTTGTTGCAGCTGTTATTGTATCTACCTGTTGCTCAGGCAAGGCTCAAGCCGTTGTCAAACACATTTTTCGGGAGCATAATGCAGAGTGTGGTCTTTGCACAAGCATCGCCTCTTCTTTCTTTTACTGCAGTATATCGTGCGGGCCACGAGTTCCCTCTACCGCATCCAAAATGAGTAGGCGTCATTAGCCATGGTCGCTGTGGGTAGCCAGAATCACCTGTAAAAAAATACTTATTAGAAAACCTAATTTATACTAGCTACTTCCTCGCGGTTTCACCCGCTGCTCGACTCCTATTGATTTCATTTTAGCATCATAAGGTTAGTTTTTGTTGGAGTTGCTCACAGAAGTACTTGAAAGCTTTTTTATTTAGGCGGTACCTAGTATTTCTAAACTACGTTTCAGTGATGTACATTGGATTAGATATCTTTCTGAATTTAGCTCGGCACACGATTTCTCTAGAATAATCAGTTAATTCGTATTATTTTCTTGAATACATATGTCTATATTAAGTGAAACATAACTTGAATAGGTTGGTACTTAGGTACTTACGAAGTTTCTCTTGACTCTTCATCTCCAAGTAAAATAGCTACAAATAAACTATTTCTCCAACTTGGTTCGTACAGCGGCGGTCTTTGCATGATGTTATACTCGTAAAGAATACTCACAAACCTTATAATATATTATTTAAAACACGATTGAAATATTTCGAAACCTTTCTCACCGTCAAATTCTTAGTGACAAATGTTTCGACAGTTTTCGATAGCCAGCCTTCGAAACTTACGTTACTATACGTCAAAAGATCGTTCGTGCTTCCAATTTGTGTCAAAATGTTCTAAGTTTCGATAGCAACACGATACGATTACTATACGATAGTTGTCAAAATCATTCGTGCTTGCGATTTTTAGTTCCTTTTACGCACGGTAGGGGCGCTGTACAAATCCCATAGAAAATGCTTTCGATCTCGATACGAATACTTTCTCGATAATGTTCGTGCTAGGCACACAGACATCGCAACATAGATTTTATTAGAATAACTTATAACCAAAAAGGTTTATGAACGATTCGCCATTTATCCTGTTAGTTCCATGTTACGCTAAGTTTAATTTTAGACCTCAGTCAACTAAACTTTTATTGGGAACTTTTGTATGTATAATATATACGGTTTATTTTTTTGTAAGGGGAAAATCATCAAATCACTTCTCCCGCACAGGGCCGGGCGGGAGGGAGTGTCAGACTCTTACTGACTAAAAACCCCCCTGTTCCTTCTCCTGCTCTGGGCCGAGGTCGCGGTGCCTCATTGCGCTTACCCCGCCACCCCGGCTGAACATCAGCCCTTTAGGGCCCCGCCTGATAGATAGACGGTTAAGGACCCAATAGACCACCATAGATGGGGTACAACAGGGCGGTATATTCAGCAAAGGTTGAGGGTCACGTAATTTACCGCAACCTCACCCTGGAGAAGGTGAAGAAACGAGGTGGTTTTTAGTCAGTAACAGTCTGACACTCCCTCTCACCTCGCACGGGAGGGGGGGATGCTATTGAGTGACTCTCCTTCTTTAAAAAAAGCGGCGAAAAGATACTAGGTTAATGAAGAATTTGTCTGTTTCTTGTTTTTGACATTTCAAAATTACCAAGCTCTTTACAAATTTGCAAAGAATTTCAAAATCTAAAAAAACTATTGTATTATGCAGATATGTAACCTTGTACGAGCAAAGCCGCGAGCGGAAGCTAGCACCTGATTCTAAATTTAAAACGGAGCAGTTATGCTAATGTTGCCATGTCAAAATTAAACGTGCATTTTAATCATTCATCATATTTAATAGTGTAGAAACTTAACGATTTAAAAAAAGATACATTTTTTTTGTTGTTCTTCATAATATACACGTGTAATATAACCTGCATTTTAGTATTTATATTAAAAGACAAAATGTCTGCCGTTCCAAAAATAAATTTCTATTTAAAATTCCGTTAATTGCTACATCATATATAAAGATTATTTTTTATTGACCATTTACAACGTTCTCAATTTAAATCCGAGTTATTTTTAGCAACATTTTCGACAAGTTTTAACACAATTACATTTATAATAGACCTGTGAACTAAAATTAAATAAGCGAATCTATTTTTAGTAATCCTATTCATTAACGTTTTGAAATTCGACCTCACATTTATTTTTTAAAGTTTCTCGCCATTTTTTTAATTATGAAGACCTCGAGAACCGCGTGTCATCAGATCAGATAAAAACTAAAAAAAAACTTTCAAACAAAAAGTTTACAACCTGTTTTTTTTTTTATTAAGCCAACCAACCGGCTTTTTGGATTAGGTAGAGTTATTTTTGAAAATTATATTTATTTATAATGCGTTGATTTTTTTTCTGCGTTAGGTATCGTTGCTTTTTTATTTTTAGTTCAGTTGCGTCACGAAATAGCTAAATTAATTTTTAATGAATCTATTTTTGTCTTTAAATTTTTAAAGTTTATTAGCCTCTGTTTTAATCATGTTTTCATTATAAAAGTTTAAATACTAATGCAAAGACATTCCGGATTCGTTAACCGTTTGAGAGGGGAATATCAACATTCTCTCGCCCAGGGTGAGGCGAGAGGGAGTGCCAGACTCTTACTGAGTAAAAACCCCCCGTTCCTTCTCCTGCTCAAGCGCTCTTCCGTATTGCGCCTGCCCCGCAACTTCAGCAAGCCTTAGTTTACTTGTAATTAGGAACTTTAGGAGTAGAAAGAATTTGTTTCATACCCTTCTAGCGAATGGAAAGCCAACTAAAGGACTACTTAGATGGAGATCAGACAACAGCGATCTGCTAAAGCCTAAACATTTAAAACTGTGTAACCTATCCGCCTAATGTGGAAAGAAATTTGGTCAACGGTGTTAAGTATATAGAAAACCGACACTTTTGCGATTTAGGGATTGGGCCTCCGGTAATCTCATACGGCGAAACACAACGTTTTACGCCGGTTTTCTGTGAGGCCGTGATCGCTCCGGTCGGCCGACCCATTCGTGCCGAGGCCACAGCTTTGTGTTTCGCCGTGTGAGTCAGGTTACCCGACGCCCAACCCTTTCAAATCCCTCCCCAATCCCTAAATCTCTCAATCCCAAATCCCTTAGAGGCTGGCAACGCACTCGTAACTCCTCTGTTGTTGCAGGTGTCCATGGGCGGCGCTGATTGCTTACCATCAGGTAATCCGTTTGCTCGTTTGCCGACCTATATGTAGGTAACAAAAACAAAAAAAAATTAACATAACTCACCTTTTTCGAGAAGTTGAGCGAACATATTTTGAACATTCGTATGATGATGTTTCCATCTCAGGCAATATTGTTGTGGAGTCATTTTCCTTCACAGAGTCCTTATTGAAGTCCAAAAATAAATTATAATAAAAACTTTGGTTTTCAAAAGGCAGGTCATCAGTTTTTTTTTCAAAGGTTTGGCTATGGATTTTGGTGTAACCTTTTTTTTTAAAATCTAATCTTTACTTATAATCTATAATTTCAGTTTTAGGTACATATGTTTTTCTTTTTTCGAATTTGGAATGTTGATCCCGGTGGTATGGTATCTGAAACAAGAGAAAAATCGTAATGAATACACGTAAAAGAAAAAAAAGATTGAAAATTGGGTAGTTCTAAAAAGTCCTAGGTCAAAAATAAATTAATTTGACAGTACAATACAATAAAATATTGAAAAATAACTATACTTTTATTCATCGATCGATCGATACACTAAGTTTTAGATATTTTTAACAAATAACTTAAGTAGTTGACGCAAAAATACTATGACGTCATAACTTAGTGTTTCATAGAAAAGTATCGTTTTTGACAGTTGGATAAAAGTATTGAATTTGTTTAGATGGAAGCTACCGTATTTACCTAATTGTGAAAATTCTAGTAGTTAGGCGAAAATTTTACATAAAATTAAAAATATTTAGGCGGAGTGCATATCGAATTTTGTATATGATCTTTATCCTACTTAAGGCAAGATTTTCAATGGTTAGATAAAAGTTGCCTGGGGAATAATTATGATGCTGTCGCGTCAGAATGTTTGTATAAGACAGTGACAGCAACAATTTTATTCCTCAGATAACATTTATCTGACGATTGAAAAATCAGCCCTTAATAATATACATTCTCTGAAGAATGTATATTAGAATGTAATGTATGTATGTAGGTATGTTTGTTATTCAGTTCTAAAACGCAAAAACGGCTGGAGCGATTAAGTTGTAATTCTGTATGTAGAAAGGTGATAAATAAAAGAAATATAGTTGACTGGCAGAAAACTCCTAATAGCATTAGGTCCGACTTAATGTACCTTTGCCTCTCATGTACTTTTTTTTTAAGTTTTTAAGTACAAATAAATATAAAATCTATGGAACCGCTGGTCGGATTGCCAAAATTCTTACAATCAGCAACATCTCAAAAACAGCTACAATATTCCCAAGTGCTATAGGCACACATAACGCTACGATCAAATGGAACCGAGCAGCGGGTGAAACCGCGCGAGAGTAGCTAGTAATAAATATCGGCGCACTGGCCATCAGCACATGTGAAACCTCTTTGTTATATTTCGATGTCAAACTTCACTGTCAAATGTCATAATTAAGTCCATAGCGAACACCAAGCTCTGGTGAGGCAGTCTTCTTGTAAAACAGGACACTTTTCGTAGAATACGCACGCAGCCATATATTCGGTGGACGTTTAGTTCAAATCCAAGCTAATCTTAATCATCCTTAGTTAAATTGTAATAGTTGTGATTGTAATATTAAGAGTTGTAAGAAGAGTGATTATAGTAACAGTTATTTTATTGAAATACTGCCTTCTTACCCGATAATTCGCGCCTAATTGAACATGTCAAATCATTCTAATCATAGTCGAAAGACTTCAAATATAGTTTTCTTATTGACAGGCATCATTAATAAGTGTGGGAGAGCCACGCTTCGGCACGAATGGGTCGGCTCGACCGGACCGATACCACGGCCTCACAGAAAACCGGCGTGAAATAACCACAGCGTTGTGTTTTGCCGTGTGAGAGAGGTTACCGGAGGCCCAATCCTTCCCCTCCCCCAATCCCTCCTCAATCCCTAAATCTCCAAATCCCTATTCCCTAAAAGGTCGGAAACGCACTCGTAACTACTCCGATGTGAGTGTCCATGGGCGGCGCTGATTTGGTTACCATCAGGTAATCCGTCAGCTCGTTTGCCGATCGTTTACATTAAAAAAAAACATACCAAGACTGTTCACGTTTCGTGTACGTCCCAAACCGATAGACCATAGCTTAAGAGAAATCATTGTATTACTCTTAAAAACGTTAAAATAACTAAAAACTTCATAAACAACCCGACCAGAGCCTCTTTGGAGTTATTAAAAAAAATGACAACAAAAGCTGTTGTATACTTTGACAGCGTTAAATAAGTAAATACATATACCTACCTATATATATAGTAAACCAAACAAGTTTTTAAATAGAACCTTGAAAAAGTCAAAAACATCAATATAGGTATACACACGTAATACGAAATTAACTTTTTAGACCTTGGTGCGTTCGTTACGTATAAGTACCTACAAAGTCTCATTAAAATCGGTTCAACATTTTCCAAGATTTCCTCAATAAAATTTGCGACGACAAATCGGTGTTAAAGTTAATTTTTTTTATGTAAAAGGTCGGCAAACGAGCAGACGGATTACCCGATGGTAAGCAATCAGCGCCGCACGGACACCCGCAACGGAGAAGTTACGAGTGCGTTGCCGACCTTATAGAGATTAGGGTTTTGGAGATTAAGGGATTGGGGAAAGATCAGGGGAGAGGAAATATTGGGCTTTCGGTAACCTCACTCACACGGCGAAACACAACGCTGTGGTTGTTTCACGCTGGCTTTCTGTGAGGCCCTGGTATGCCTCCGGTCGCAGACCCATTCGTGCCGAAGCTTGGATCTCCTACACTTAAAATCTACTAAGTTAAAATTTTAAAACGAAACAATTTTTTCTAAATAGACCAAAACTAGTCGTAGTCGGACGTGTTATCTATCATAGAATTCCGTTATCATATATTAGTTCTCGTTATCTTTGTATTTTTAAAATTGTTTTCGAAAACTAGTTGATAAGCTATCGTTGGCTGTAATCGTTTTTTGGAACTATGATAAAAGGTTCATAGGTACATGCCCTTATCATACGTACTATAATGTTATATATGTAGCTACTATAGATGGTTATGTTACGTAAAACCTATTTCAATTTTAAGCCCATTTTCCTTTTTGTTAAGCAAAAATCATCAAATGACTTCTCCCGCCGGGTTAGGCGAGAGAGTGTCAGACTCTTACTGACGAAAAACTACCCCGTTCCTTCTCCTGCTCTGGGTCGAGGCCGCGGTGCCTCATTGCGCTTACCCCGCAACCCCGGCTGAACATCAGCCCTATAGGCCCTTCCCGACCGTACGGCGCGTATCGTGCCGCGCGCGCCTCAAAGAGCCAATAGACCAATACAGACGGGGCTGATGTTTAGTCAGTTTTGGGGGGCAAGCGCCATAAGGTACCGCGGTCTTTGCGATTCAGACCTTACCCTAAGAGAAGTCTATTGATGATATTCTCCTCTCAAAAAGAAGGTCCAAATGAAGGATTGGAGACGACATATTCTACCACCATCACCGCATGTTTTGCTGTAATACCCTCTTCATCATCATCTTCCTGCCCTTGTCCCGTTTTATTTGGGGTCGGCGCAGTATGTTTTTTTCTTCCATTCTGTCCTGTCACCCGTCACGCTATCACTGACTCCTGTCTTCCATATCACTTCTCACACAATCCATCCATATTTTCTTTGGTCTCCCTCTCCCTCTCTATCTATCCACATTTATACTCATGGCTTTTTTTGTAACATGCGTTTCATCCCTCCTTTTCACATGGTCATACCAAGACAAACGGTTCCCTTTCAACTTTTCAGTCACTGGCGCCACTTTCAAACTTCCTCTGCTATACTCATTTCTCAATTTATCCATTCTCGTCACACCACACATCCATCTCAACATTCTCATCTCTGCTACATGCAATCGCTTTTCATCCGTCTTTTTCAGAGCCCAACATTCTGACCCATACCCATACATTGTTGTACCCTCATGATGCACGCATTTCATTTGAAAGTAAAATAACTTATAAGTAAATGTGAGCCAAGTTTCGCCATGTTCTGAGCTCATTGTATCGTGAAATGTGACGCAATGGAACCGTTATAATACTCACACTAGTTATTGGTTATACCTATGTATGTTTGGAGTAGGACTTATAATTTCTAATTAAAGTTTGAAACTGCCAATCCGCCTTGAGCAAGCGTAGTGATTAATGCTCAAACCTTCTGCGAGTGAGAAGAGGCCATTGCTCAGCAGTGGGCACTTATAGGTTGATGAAACAATGAATTTATTTTTGTAAATAGAGCACTTTTACACTTCAATATTATATGTAAAAAACTAGATGAAGCCGACATTTCCTATCTGACTACTCTGAGAAGAAATGACGAAACAAACTCAGAGGTCCGTCTCTTTTCAAGTCAAATGATGATGATGATGATGATGATTATAATTATTTATGTACTAAACTAATTTCCAGCCCGCAGTACTAGGGTGGAAAGCCTGTATTATATAATACTCTCGATTGTATAATCTATCTCTGTGCCAAGTTTCATTCAGATGCCTTCAGTAGTTTTTACGTAAAAAATCAACAAACATACATTCTTACTTACAAGCTTTCGCCTTTATAATATAAACCTTTCAATAGTGGTAATTCAAGACACAATAGCTGCGCGAGCGCCGGCACTCGCTTGGGGTTTGACGAATTAAGAAGTTATACTGTTTTGTAGGATATAAACATACATATATTATGTGCGTAAACTAGAATTCTTATACTCTTGCAAGTGACGAATGGGTCGACTGAGGGTTAAGCACAAAAAGGAACTGGGTGGTTTGTAGTCAGTAAGAGACTGGCACTTCTCGCCCCAGGCAGGGCGGGAGGAATCATTCGATGACCTTCACCGGGGGGGTGAAGGTCATCGAATGATTCCTCACAAGAAAGACCAGGAAGCAGCGCTCTATGATAGACCTGAACTTTTTGAACTGTGTATTTTTTATAGACCTACTTAGAATTTTTTTGTGTGATAGTTCGGCAAACGAGCAGACGCTTTACCTGATGGTAAGCAATCAGCGCCGCCCATGGACACTCGCAACAACGGGGGAGTTACGAGTGCATTACTGACCTTTTGGAGATTGTGGGGTTGGGGGAGGGGAATGATTGGGCCTCCGGTAACCTCACTCACACGGTAGTACCACCAAGAATGGGAATGATTTTGTCAAACACTCTCTCTCTCTCTCTCAATCTGGAAGAGATCCTAGAGTCTAACAGTTGACTATCATTGGCTGATAACAGCACATGATATATAATGATATGCTAGAAGTGTAGCGCGACTAAAGAAAAACAAGTTAAAAATCTCACATTATTTTTCTATAACCTGCATGTACTTAGATACTAAATTGGGTTAACAGGTAACGAACACGATCACATTCATTCCGCATCGAACGGCGTTTTTT